AGTTCCCACTATTCCCTGCAAAACCTCTGCCTTTATTGATATTTAAGGAACGTGAAAGGCAGAGACTGGCTCCCAGCAAAAGCCAGCTGGGGGAGGCTCTCATCCCTCAGGCTTTCCCTTCATTAAACCCTTGCAATATTCCTGTTCTCCAGGAGGAGGCTGATTCTTCCCAGCAGAGAATGAATGTGTCTTTCCATTCCCACTGAACTTTGCCATTCCCTCTCCTCAGCTCCTGCTGCTGCCCAGCTTTCCATGGCTTTCCAGCGTTGTTGTTGCAGCAGTTTGGTGTCACTGAGAGGGGACAGCACATCTGCAGAGCCAAGGAGCTCTCTGGTTCTGCTTGGCACCACGCTGGCCAAACCCTGCCAGCCCCGCAAAGGCTTTGCAGAGAGCTCAGGGTGGAGAGGAGAGGGCAAATGCCTGGGAGGTGGAAAGAGCTGGAGAAAAGGCACCACTTTTGCCTGTGGTAGCACTTGGTCATCACTTGGGAGGTGGAAAAATTTCTCCCTTCATTCCAGAGCTAAATCCTGCCCTGGACTGGTGTGTGTGGTGTTTGTCCAGGCACGTGAATGTCAACAAAAGGCTTTTCCCCAAAAACCTGTGGTTGGTTTTGGCTTCTGCTCTCCACCACCAGCACTGATGCTCACGGGTGATGGGAATTGTTTGCTCTGGCACCTTGGCTCCCCCAGATTGACCCCCGACTCCTTTTCCTTTCAGTTTGGTGACCTCACATCCCTGTCCCCGACACTGCTGGACAAAGGTACCTGCCGTCCCTGCCGGGGGCTCTCGGGGCAGGGTGGGATCGCTGCGGGAGGGGGATCCCGGTGCTGGCTCCCGCAGCCGGCCGTGCTGGGCAGCAGCTCGGGGTGGCTCCTGCTCTGAGCCGGGTCCTTTGCAGATGACATCGGCGAGCTGGGCACCGAGGCGGAGCCGGAGCGGGCGCTGGGGGAGCCGCTGGTGAAACGGGAGCGCAGCGAGCCCGGCCACTCCCTGCAGGACATCTGACACCGGGACAGCCATCCGGAGCCTGAGCCGCCCCGGATTTGCGTTATTATAGTGCCTCTTAGTTTCTCTTTATGTTTACTTGTGTGTGAGGATGGGCTGAGCCGGGGCAGGCGCTGGGACGGGGCTGGTTTGGCCACCAGTGTCCCCCCAGAGTGGAGGGAGAAGCTGCATCTGCTCCCAAGGGATGGAAGGATGGAAGCTGTGTGGCCAGCAGCAGGTGGGATGTGCCTGGCTGGGAGAAGCTGTGCTCGCTCTGCGGACGGAGCGAGGCGCACACACGAGGCTTCTCCGACAGGGAAGGTGCTTTGGGTTCCTTCCCCACGTCTCAGACTTCACTGTGATACAAACTTGAACCAATCAGTGCCCAAGAAGAAGGAAAAATCCCCGGCCCTTCTCCTCCAGCCTTTCCAGACAAGCTGTCCCGGCTCTGGCTTTGCCAAATCTCTCCGTGTCCCAGGGAGCGCGGGGCCATTGGTGTCTCCTGTCCCTGGGGAGAGGCTCCAGGCCGCACATCCCAGCGGGCACAGCCGTGCTCTGGGACTATGGGATGAGCATTCCCACCTGCTCCCGTGTCTGCCCAGCTCAGCACTTCACCCCAATGCTCCTGGGACGCCGTCGGGCCGACTCAAGATACCAAAGGACTCCGAGGCAGTGACAGCTGGAGGCAGAACCTGTTCATTGTCCCCCGTGCCTGGGGGCAATCCCATGGCAATCCCATGGCAATCCCATGGCAATCCCATGGCAGTCCCATGGCAGTCCCATGGCAGTCCCATGGCAATCCCCATCCTCCACAGTGCCCAGGCAGACAGGAACTGGTCCCACATCCTGGGGTTTGTGAAATTCCCACTCCATGTCCTGCCCAGACGGAGCAGGGGGAAGGGTGTGTGACCACAGTGCCTTAGGGTGGGCCTTGTTCCCATTTCCCCTGCTCAGACTGGCCCAGCACTGCTCAGACTGGCCCAGCTCAGCTCAGACTGGCCCAGCTCAGCTCAGACTGGCCCAGCACAGCTCAGACTGGCCCAGCACTGCTCAGACTGGCCCAGCACAGCTCAGACTGGCCCAGCACTGCTCAGACTGGCCCAGCACAGCTCAGACTGGCCCAGCACAGCTCAGACTGGCCCAGCAGCCCACCCAGGTAGGGAGGGGCTGGCACAGACCGGGGGGTTCAGCTCTCCAGTGGCATTTCCCTGTCTGGATCCCTTTGCCTGTTCCTGCAGTGGCAGTGCAGGGGAGGCTCCCGTGGGGCTGAGCTGGGGGAGCTCAGCAGGGTTTGTCCCCCTTTCCCATGTCCCAGGGGGTCTGTGCTGACATGGATTGCCCTGGGATGCTGTGGACTGCACTGGGGTGCTGTGGGCTATAGGGCAGAGTGGGGGATCTGTCATCAAGCTAAACTGCAAAAACAAAGCCCTGGGGCAAATCTCTCTGTGAATAAAGGCCGTGTCATAAATAGCTTTTATTATTATGGTTTCTAATGATGCAGTGTTTGGTGTGAGCTTTTCCAGGGGTCTCGTGCACATTTGCCTAGCAGAGAATATTCTGTCCTAATCTCTGATTTTCTCATTCCCAGTGGCACTAAGGCAGCTGTGACACTTCCAAATGTTCCTAATGGCAAGTGAAAGGAGAGTGTGTGCAGTGGCACATCTTCCCTCTGTCCCACGCTGCTGTGCCAGGGTGATGTTTGTGTGTAAATGTCTCCCATGGAAGGGAGAGAGTGAGAGAGGCAGATTTAAATGTACATAACCATGAAAACTCCCCGGGTCAGAGTCCACACTTGGGATCCTGCTGATGAGATAAGAGAGTCTGAAAAAACAACTGAGCAACCAAATCTTCACTGCCCTGCTCCCACTGAGGGCCACAGGAAGTTCAGCTCTTCCTCTGAGGGAAGCCAGTGTGCAAAGGAGATGCTCTGGAGCTCTGCAGCAGCGTGTGAGGAGGCTGGAGAAGCACCCAAACCCCCCTGCACACAATTCCCAGCTAAACCTGAACAGCAATAAACATGTATCCATGCTCAGGCCTGCACAAGGAGTGTCGTGGTCCCATTTCTTCTGTGAGGCCTGAGAGGTGCCTGGAGATGCTGCAGCAGCCTCGGGGGGATGCAGGAGCTGCCCAGGGCAGGGTAATTAAAGCAGTGTGGGGCAGGGATCCAGGGTCTGCAGGAGGGCAGATTCCCCCTGGAGCAGCAGCTGGTGTGTCACAGCCTCAGAGGGGAGGAGAGGCTGATGGATCAGACACAGGGCCACAGGAGGATTTTCTAATTAAGCCTCCAGACTAATTGAGAGGATGGGAGCAGTGAGGATGGGAAGGGATGTGACAAGTGCTGGGGCATTCCTGCTCTGACCCCTCAGGAAGGTTCAGCCTCTGGCCTTTGCTTCACTCTCCCTCTGGATTAAGCCCAGTCTGGCTGGACCAGACAGAGCCTCTTCCATTGGGAATCTCGAGTCTGTAAGCAGGAGATTACTTCCCCCAGGGGAGCTGGGCAGCACCTCCTAACCCTGAGAAAATCTGCCTCTAAGCAGAAAGCAAACACAGCTCCAAATCCTCCTGTTAGTACCTACACCCCCACCCCCAGCCTGCCTCTGGCTCCATCACCCCTCCCAGATGGGCAAATCCCGCAGGGATTTCAGCACAAGCATCCCAGCATTTTGTATTCCACCTCTTCCCAACCAGCAGAGAGCACCAGGAGGTGGCAGGAGAAGGGCAGGTGGCCAGGGTTGACAGCAAGCCCAGGGAAATCAGAGGGGGACAACATTCCAGAAGCAGCTGGACACTGCCAGTCCCTGGGGCTCATCCCAGAACCTTGGAGCTGGGCAGGGTGGCACAGCCCAGGAATTCCTTGGGAGCAGCCCAAGGGGCAGGGGACACTGCAGTGCCACCAGCCTGGGAGGTGCTGCTGGTCTGGGGACATCTTGGAGAGCTTCAATCCTGCCAGGACGGGAGGGTGGGACTCAGACTCACCCCGTTTGTCCCCTCGGGAATGTGTCCCGTGGCTGGGATGGCTTTAGGGTCATGGTGTGGCACTCCTGGATTGTCCCCACAGTGTCAGGACAGGCACCTACATCTAGGACACCTCTGGGACAGGGGGACTTGTGAAGAGAAATGGGATGAAGTTCTCAAAATGAACCAACACAAAAACACAGATTTGAAAACAGGGGCCAGAGCCACCTTCTGTTGTTTGCTTGCAACTTCTCCCATCATTGGGTCTGAAACAGCATCTCCTCTTGTGCCAGTGGAGCCCTCGGGCTGTCCATGTGGCCACGGGGCACAGGAGCATCAGCCTGCACTGGCAGGAGAGGCTCAGCTGGGCTCCCAGCATCAGCCCTTCAGTGGCAGCTCCAGTTTCCCCCTACCCTACACTGTCCCCAGCCTGGTGTCCCCAGCCCTCTGTGTCCTCACCTTCCCCAGCACGGGGCTCAGGCCATGGGGATGTTTCATTCCAGACCCTTCCCCAAGGAGCCAGGGATCCTCCTGTCCCCCAGCCCTGCTCCCTCCCTGGCCTGGGATGTTTCTGCAGGGAGAAGGGCCTTTCCCTGCTGCTCTGGCAGCACTGAGAGCTCCAAGGAGTCCCTGGACAGAACCCCTCCCCTCCATGTGGCTGTCACTGCACAGGGCAGGGACACTGAGGCACAGACTGAGGGCTCGTGGCTGTAATTCACGGCTGCCCCGGGTACCAGAGGGGACAGGTTCTGCTGGCCCTACCCTGCCTCTCCCTGGCCTGGCTCTGCAGCTGAGGCAGGAGGAGCCCAGCTCACCCAGGGCTCAGCTGGGTCACTTTAACCACAAACAGGTTTCACCTGGAGCAGGCAGTCTGGGGGCAGGTCCACAACCACCCCTGCAGTTCCTTCAGGGTGTGTTTATAAACCCACACCCCCTCACCCCAGGAGCTTTCTCTCTCTTTCTTTCCTTTTTTTTTTTAATTTTCTTTTTCTTTCTTTTTCTTTCTTTTTTTTTCTTCTTTTTTTTCTTTTTTTTTTTTTTTTTTTTTTTTTTTTTTTTTTTTTTTTTTTTTTTTTGCCTTTGTTCTTTGGGAGCCTTAGTTTGGAGCTGAGGGGAATTTGGGAGTTACTGCCTTGGGGTGTCTGGGATGTACTGCTAGAACTTAGAACTTCCACCCTTCCAGTGCTACCAAGCAGGTAAGGACCCAACAATGACCTCCTCCAGTGCCCCTGGGCTGGGTTTGGGGGCTGCAGCCCAGAGCAGGGCTCTGTCCCAGGGCTGCTGTGGCCAGGGTGTCCCAGGGCTGTCCTTCTGCTGTCCCAGGTGAAGGACAATGTCTGCACGAGGCTCTGCAGCAGCCTTGGGGCTCAGTTCCCAGCCCAGCTGCAGCACCCCGGTGCCTGCACCAAGGAATTCCCTCCTGGCACAGCCTGTCCCTCCTCCACGGAGCTGCTCCCTTGCCCTGCTCGGCCAGGAGGACATCGTGGAGAGCTACAGCGGGTACGTGGGGAGCTGGGCCCTGCTCCTTGCGTGTGCTCACCCTCAGGGGACATATCCCGTGTCTGGGATGTGTTTGATTCAGCCTGGCTCTCCTGGGAGGCTCACGGGGCTGTTCCCTGTGCCCAGGGCAAGGCTGGTGGCAGCCCTGGTGGCCGTGGTGCCTCTGCTGTCCCACCACGGTGCCTGGGACCAGCTGACACCCGTGTCCCCTGTGCTGTGCCAGGAACTCCTGCGAGCTGGGGGTGGCTCTGCTGGACTGCAGCTGCTCGGCCCCAGACCCGCAGCTGGTGCGCAGGATCGTGGCCCAGGTGGAGTTCTACCTGTCCGACGAGAACCTGGCCAAGGACACCTTCCTGCTCAAGCACGTGCAGAAGAACAAGATGGGCTTTGTCAGCATCAAGCTGCTGACATCCTTCAAGAAGGTGGGTCCTGGCTGCCGTGTCGGGTGATGCAGGGCTGGGCTCTGCTCCCAGGCAGGGTGAACACCCCTCAAAACACCCCCAGGGCTGCGCTCACCTCTACCCGTGCCTTCCCTGGACTGCTTTGGAAGCGCTCATCCCTTCACCAAAAAACCCAGGGAAGTGCTGCTGGTGTGGCTTAGGGGGAAATTGTGGTTCTTGTCAGAGCCTGGGCGACACTGGGGACTGTGCAGACCCCAAAGCTGCTCGTGGGGGGTCGGGGGACATGGCCGTGGGGGGGAACGGGGGACATGGCCGTGGTG